AGTTCACCAAATGCACCAGACATTTATAGTAAACAGTATTAATAGCTAGTGGAACTCCATGGACTGTAGAAAATAGAAACCTGGGTAGCACAACAAAGAATCACAAGAGAGAAGAACAAGGCTATTAATAGTAGAAATGAAAAACGTTTCAAACACCTTTAGGCACAACCAAAAAAAATGATTGATAGTATATTGGAAAGACCGCAAAGAAGAATAGATACAACAAAACTTATAGAACACACAGCAACAGACAATATCATGTTCATTACAGGTCTCGAGGAAATAAAAATCAAGATCAAAGATCACTTCAAGGAATGGACAAGATCTCACAAAACATTAGACCTAGTAAACTTTTCCAACTGGTATAGTAGATATGCACTGATAAATTACATCAAACCAGAATGGTACAGTCAATGTATAGCCAGAATAAGCATTCAGGAAATTCAAGAAGCGATATGGTCGAAAAACAAATACAAAGCACCTGGCCCCTCTAAAATTCCATATATTCTCCTAAAAAACTTAGGCCACAAAGGTATACAGGTATTGAAAATAATGTACAACTTGATCCTTAAAACAGGGGAACTACCAAAAGAATGGAAACATAATGAAGTGTACCCAATTCTCAAACCAAAGTATTGGATGGAAGATATTAACATCACTCGACCAATTACCCTTCTAGAGATAACAAGGAAAATTTTCATGTTAATTCTGAATGATAGACTATCAACAACATTTAACTGGCATAATATTACATGTAGAAATAATTGGGTAGGCTTGCCTAGCAGTAGCACATAACAACTAATACACATAATGAACAATATTTTAGAAGAAGCAAGGGAATTAAGAAAAGAAGCATAGATATTCAGTCAAGACATAAGTAAGGCATACAATTCAATAAATAAAGACATATTAATAAGGGCACTTAAGCACATTAAAGTCATAGAAACAATTATCAAAGTCCTGAGGAACACACCAACAAACAAATATAACAAGATCATTATAGTATATGGATACACAGAAAAATATGAAGTGCAGGATGAAATCGATTAAAAGGACACTATATCCCACTCCTGTGAAGAATCTTTTATAACCTCTTGCTTCAAGAAATAGAAGATCAGAAATTGGAATATGAAATGAAGGTTACTTGGACAATGGATCTAACAACAGTCAATATCAATAGCACATCACAACAAGTACTATTCCAAATGGTAACAGCAATAGCATATATGGATGATATCATATGGTATGCACAAAACAAAGGGGACATGCAAAAAATCTTAAATCTAATCACAGAATTTCTTAGTATCAACAATATTCAAGCCAATGGGGAGAAGTCATCGCTTATCTGCATTAATGCGAGCAAGGCAGATCAAGAAGCAGGAGTTATCCTGGCAGAAACCAAGGTGCTACCTATAAAAAAGAAAGAAACAGTATGTATCTTAGGGATCTGGATATCAGAAGACAGAAAGAAACAATATCAAAAATAACTTGTCAAAGAAATGATAGATAATTACACGAACTTATTTAAATAGAAGAAAATCACAGACAAACAAGCAAGATATGTAATTAATTATATCCTATATCTAGCAATCGAATATCTACTTAATGACATGACCCTCTCAGAACAAGAATATGACTGCCTCAACAGTAAAATAGTAAAAATATTTAAATATAAATTTAACCTACCAATGATAGCACCAAATGCAATTATTCATACAGATTTTGGGTACAAACTATTCAACATGTGGAACAGACAGGTATTGGCACATGACAATAACTGGCATAAGAGAATCAATGGTAATAACATATGTAGTGGAATGGCATGGATCAGGTTACAACAACTTCAAAATCAATACTGGTCAAATACCTCGATCTTGGAAGACAAATACCCATTCTGAATGAAGAAAAGGCAAAATTTCACAAATGACATACTCAATATGCTCAAAGTACAGGGTATCACATTCAAGACCACAGACTATATAATGACATATATCTCCTTAAAGGGAGGCAAAATAGCAATCAGAGATGTAACCTCAAAAGAGTAGTACGATAAAAATAGACAAGTCTTCAAAAAAAGAGGAATTCTATTTGTGGAACAACTCATGAATGACAACCTCTTAAGACCACTAACATGGCAGCAACTCAGAACAAAGAAAGGTAGACAAGGAAGAATTCCAAGATAGTTCCAAGAAGTACACCAAATTATTTACACTGATCTATACGAGAACTCCTATATAAACACTACAGGTCTTCACTTCACTGATACTGTTAATAAATTCCGCAACAACACCCCAGTTCTCCCTTTTCAGGCAAGGACAACAATCAAATGGCTAGTGACAGAATTAGAGAACCAAATCACCATATACAAGAAAAAGAAAGTTATAGATTTTGATAGAATCATAGCTAATCACATGATATAAAATCCAACGACATCTCCTCTCTACAAATGTCAAGGATGTCAGAAGAACAACCAAATGATAAGAAACAAATACAAGGAACAAGGGCAATGCATCGCTGAGCTAATAAGGGCAAAAGTCATCAATGTAGTAGTAGACAAGAGTTCAAAATCAGCAGACTCGGGGAGAAAACAATTAGAGGTGCAACAACCTACAAAGGACAGGTTGTGCTCTATCCCCAAGGGAATAAAGGAAGCACTATATGAAAGAGGAATGATGCTAGAACTCTCTAAGACAGCATCACAGATTCATCTAGATCCTCTTTCAGAAACAGTTCACCTAATTAACAGCAGGATAAGTGGAAACAAAAAAATCATAGACAAGCTGATACACATAGTAGAAGGAATAAGTGAACTCAACAACCTAAAAATTTATATAGATGGATTATTCACCAGACATTTAGAAAAAAATAGAATAAGTCTAGGGTAAATTATTGCAACTCAATTGGGGAAACAAGTAGCAGAATTCCAAGCGGAAATATGTAACACCCCCTATTTACAAGAGTGGAGTTAACAACCATTCTAATAGCAGTAAGTACAGTTAATATAAACAAAACTATTACCATTTTCACAGACAGCCAATCAGCCATTAATATCCTCAGGGACCCCACAGTCAAAATAAAAGAGGCCAAGGGAGAACAGATCATCCAAATCAAATCTTCAGTAATACGATTAAGGAGATTATAAAGACCAAAAGATTAATGGTATATTGGGAAAAAGTTAAGAGCCATACAGGCGTCCCAGGCAATGAAAAAGCAGACAAGTTGGTTACTATAAAGCTAACAGATAAGTCAAAGCACATTGTTACAACAAACGCATAAAAAAACATAATAATCAAGGTACTCATAAGATGAAATAAAAGACAATTTGACATAGTAGTTAAGCCTCTGATCAAACAGATCCTAAAGAACAAATGGACAAGCAAATGAAGAACATTATGGAGAAACTAGGACTGGTTAAATCAAAAGAAAGCCAAGAAAATACATTGGTCATTAACTTTGGAGCTTTTAATATTAACAAGTATCACATCAATCTGATGAATATGGAAGATTATAAGACCATTCATTCAGAATCAAAACATGGATAGGAGAACTACCAACCATGGACAAGCTAAATATGAAACACCCAGACATATATACTGATGATAAGTGCAAAGTATGTAAACAACACAAGGAAGGCAATAATCACATATTTCAATGTGGTATAACACAGACAAGACTATAGGAAGAATACATTCAGGCTTTAACAAATGAAAGTGTGGCAAGAGCAGATGGGAAACAAAAAGAACAAATCCAAAAAAAATGGAGAAGAACTCAAATATCACAAGAATATCAAGAGCCATTAAAGACATAATATAAGATCGAATGAAAGGATATAGTCAAAGGAGTTATAACTCATGACATGATACAAGTGACAGAATCTATAACCAAGGATAGATCCAAAGCTATGGAGGCAATCAGAACAGCCATTCACAAATTCTGGCAAAAGAAATGGGAAGTATGGAAACTGAGATGTGATATCATAATCAAGTGGGAAAAGAGCCAAAACATAAACAAAAAGTTCAAGTGATAGAAAAGTGCTACTAAAAACAAAAGACACAATACTATCAAATCTGGACTCACCAACTACCCAAGCTATAAAGAGCTTTGAGACAAACTTCATATCAGAGCAGGCCCAGATAAATCTTGAAAAACACTTAAAGAACAGGTTTAAAGAATTATATATAGAACTAATCAACATTATAACCAAACATACACTTAAAAATAGTTATTTTTCTATATTTCTTTTTCTCTGTAAATATTAGTGCCTATGGAGTCTTGACATGCTAGCACCCACAAAGGTGAACTGCAACAAGTCACATGATTTTTACTTCAGAATACTGAGTCATAATATTTTTTATCTCATAAATGTATAGACTCGCAATTGAATTTGCATATATAAGCCTGTATTAATGAACTAATAAAAACTCAATGGCAGGACTTCGCCAGTTAAAAAAAAATAAAAATAAAAGAATAAATAAGTTTTTTAGATAATTTAAAGTTAAAAAATATTTCAATTAAACCAATTTCTTTTGTTTACTTGAATAAAAATCTTTTGAAGAAATTTGAATTAATAATAAATTTTTTTCTTCTTTTTCTTTTTTTTTAATATAGTAATTCAACAATTCATTATTTTTTGAAATAATCTATAGTAACAAATTTGATAATGATTTTGATAAATAATGAATATCACTCTAATCAAGAAAATAAAATATTATTAACTTGGGATATCTAATTATATGATTTTGGTTTGTTTAATTCAAACTAGTTTGGCTAATTATTATGTAAAAGTCCATATAACATTGTATATGTTTATTTAATATCTCAATAAAGATAACATGACGGCATAAAAAAAAAAATTAGATAATTTAATTTTAAAAAATTTTTTATCATATTAAAAATAATTCATATTTAAGCGCATGGTTATTTATGCAAAAAAAAATATTTGAAATGATTCAATTAAAAAAAACCAATTGTACCACATCAAGCGCCAACTTTAATCGGCAATGGGAAAGTCATCAAAGGACAAAAGAGACATTTATTACAGATTGGCGAAGGAGCAAGGATGGAGAGCTAGGAGTGCTTTCAAGCTTTTGCAAATCGATGAAGAATTTAATATCTTTGAAGGTAATCCCCGAATATATTCCTATATCACGTGATTGATGAAACCTAACTCCGGGATTGCGTGTAGGCGTCCGGCGAGCGGTGGATTTGTGTGCGGCACCTGGGAGTTGGTCACAAGTGCTGAAGAAGAAACTAGAGTAAGAATTCATGATATCACGCATTGCCCCATTTTCAATATTCAATTCAATTGTATTTCTCTGTTAGCAGTTCTAATGGTGAAACGCCGCCAAAAATTGTAGCCGTGGATTTGCAGGCGATGGTAATGATTTTTTTTTTCTCGACATCATTCATGTACCATTCGATCTGATTGTGCATTGAAATTGCGAAAATTATTTGGCAGGCACCTCTCGAGGGCGTCATTCACATTCAAGGAGATATAACCAAACTGTCAACCGCAGAACAAATCATTTCTTATTTCGAGGGAGAGCTGGCGGACCTTGTAGTCTGTGATGGCGCACCTGACGGTATCGCCCTTATCGCAACTCTCCATTCATCGCTAACAAACAACATCTGAATAGTTTTTTTATTAAAAGTAACGGGGCTTCATGACATGGATGAATACATTCAAGCCCAACTATTATTGTCGGCGTTGAATATCATGACGAATATCTTGCGTCCTGGGGGAACTTTTATTGCAAAGATTTTCCGCGGCAAAGATGTTACTTTGTTGTACGCTCAACTGAAGATATTCTTTCCCAATGTCACTTGCAGTAAACCTAAAAGTTCAAGGAATTCCAGTATCGGTTGGTGATCATTTACGGAGGTCTTTCTTCTTACCGACTTGAAAACGAACCAGTAACACACCCTGCGAATTGAATCGTTTATTAGAGGCATTCGTTGTGTGTCAAAATTACACACCACCGGAAGGTTACATTCCGACAATGATAAATCCTCTACTTGATCTGTCCTATGGTTTGTTTCATATTTTTCAATTAATGGAAAGAAAGTTTGACATCACGTTCACATATTTTTCAACTCTTTGAGTAGGTTCCGAAAATGACTTTTTAGGTCCTAACCGTGTGATAGTTCCATTCATCGCATGCGGCGATTTAAGGTAACAATAAGTAGAAAGAATATATATATATATATATATATATATATATATGTGTAATTTTTTTTTTTTCCTCAACTCAATTACTGATTACTCGTGATTAAATAAATAAATGTAGCGGCTACGATTCCGATATGACCTATCCACTAGAGGTAATCAATTCACTTTCCCACTTACGATACGAACATTATGTACTCCACGTCAAATTCTCGCTTATTTAAGATTTTCATTAAAATAGAAGAAAAGTTTAGACCCATTACAACCACCGATAAGCGCGCCATACCGTACTGCCATCTCTCTAAAACAACAAAATTTCTATAATAAAGTTTCATAATGTCATTAAATTATTATTTAAATTATTTTCATCTTTTTGCGTGAAGGGCGACCCAATCTCCGTCAAGGGAACTACCAATTGATCTTACTAAAGATAGTTGGTTTCCCCGTGTATTCACCGGTTTCTTTACTTTTTGACTTAATGTTATCCATAATCTCTTTTACATGAGATTTTTCTAGATCATCTCTTTTTGATAAAATTTCTTCGACAAATCCGACGGGCATATCGCCGTAAATTTTCTTCATTGAGTAGTAATCTAAAAATATCGATTTACGATTGCTCTCGAACAACTGATGAATTCGGTTTATTACGTCAAATTTGTTTTTTAGCTCAGAAGCTGGTATATGCTGTTGGAAAAAGGTTAATGCTGCGCCTACGTCACCTTGCGCTCGGGTTATACATTCGGGTTTCTTGAATTTTGCGCCTTTATTTTTTATCGCCTCAATGTATGCGATAATAAATCTCTCCAGGATGTTGTTCATTAATTTATCCAATAGATATTCGTTCATGTGAAGTTGAAAATCGTTGTCATAATCTTTGATCGTCTCGATGATGAGCAACATTGGATCCTCTTGATACCAGTAGGGCGTGTACAGTTGACCGAATGGTAATTTAAGGTCATTAAATACTATGTCCAACAATGAGTCCTTTGCCGCCTGTGCAACCAAGAAGAATCCGTCCATGGCGTCGTTAAGATCATTGTTAATTTGATTTTGGTACCTCTCGGAAAGTGAATCGGATAGTCGGTTAACAATCGCGTCGGTGAAATCGGCACATCGGATTTGATCATTGGCCAACGCAATGACATATTCCACAAATCCAGGCGAAGCTTCGTCCGGCTTCTCAATTTGCTTTCGCAATTCTGAGGTCAACAACTTCATCCATGCTTCTTGTGATGCTTTCATAGACTTTGCACACTCTCTCACCACATCTGCCAGTATCTTTCCTTGTCCCGATTCGGCAGCAACGTCAATTTGTTGGTTCACCATCTGAAACATGATCACGGATCCCGATAGACCGTACAACCTGTTGGCATCTAATTCCGGTGCTTTGCTTCGTTCGATAAATTCCCTGGTCTCGTCGTTCATCAAGTTGGTCATCCATTCTTCAAGTTTACGCCTTATCAATTTGAGGTAATCCTCAATCAACTCTTGTTCGTTTCCATCAAGCAAAGGAGGTTCCAGGATATCCTCGGAGATGCGAAATTCCTTGTTCATCCTCTTACGATACTGACGAACCCACTTAATTAATCTTAAAATGGTTCTTGCATCTGGATCTGACTTAAGAATCCTATCGAAGATATTATACAAGTGCCTGTGGTATGCTAAAACGTAAACGGAGAATATGTTGTATTTTTTGGGAAACCTTGGAACGATTTCTTGATACACCACCCCAAGGTCATCGTATATGAACTCTGCCGTGTCCAGCAACTTTATCTGGTCGTCCTTGAACTCCTCGTAAAAACCGTCAAACATTTTCGAGATCGAGTCGTGAAGCTTATCTTGGAATTGACTTCGAAATGATCTTATAACGCGGGGGCTGGTCTGAATCGATTTAAATTTGACCGCCAGATCTTGGTGACTGTGTCGCGCGTGTTCAGCTGCTGTCGCTCTTTCGTCTGCCTTCTCCTCTGCTTCTATCACTTTAATTAGGCACACGATAACGGACCCTTGTCCTTTCCTTGCAAATTCCATGATGTTTCTCGTCAGTGTCCAGAGGTATTCAACAAAGTCCAATGATAGTTCGTCCAACCTCTTGAAATATTGTTCCAAAGTAAGGACGACATCATCTAAGGAAGAATTTTTAGCTTGGTGCATCGTGATATCACGAAATTCTTGAAGTCGAAATAGTTGATAGTGAACGGTCAGCAGATTGCGTGCGGGTCCATAAACGTTCAGCATATCCTGTTGCAACAGACTTTGTATTTGATCCACTGTCGTGTACATTTCTTGCAATCTCTGAACGGTTTCATATGTCGCAACAAAATTACGATGAATTCGAGATATCTAAAATTCAATCAATTGAAAAATTTTTTTATTCCTTCTTAATTAGTGAATATTTTGCGACAATCCAACCATGTCTGTCTACCACCTTATTTATCCTGGGAAAGTGTTGAATCATGTCTCGTGCCTCCGAACACAAACGATCGATGGCTTGCATGTTGTCTTTGACGATTAGCATTTGCTGCTTGGAAGTTGCCAAAGTCTCAATTCCCTCTTGCGTATTATCCAATTGCACCTTTACCCCGGTTTTCAGTTGAGCATCGATCGTGGCCTTCTCTGTTGCAAGCCTTTTGCGCAGGAGACTAGTCTTGACCAAGTCGTCCGGAGATCTTAACAGTTCTGCCACCCTGGCGTTCGCCGCGTCTACTGCGTCACTGGGAGATTCCATTGATTTTGTGAACTTGCCACTCTGGTGTTTGGAGAGAGTGGTCGGAAGATGCAAGAAAAAAAAAGGTTTCTCTTATGCGAGGATCGAAATTTACATACGTAATCGACGCATAATGCATGGTGCATACGTACAGTGTATACAGTTATACAGTTGATTTTTCGTGTTCCCACACCGTTTTCGTACTTTATCCTCTATCACTGCACCTTATCTACCCGAGTTTTACTTCATACAACTGCCGGAGCTCAGCATGTCGTCGGAAAAAGAGAAAGATTATCCAAAGAGTGACATTACGATCCACATAATGGATGATGGTCAGAAGGCGTCAACCATAGAACGCTTTTGCAAAGGTTCGTTCACTCTGCAATCGATTTCGAAATTTATTAGCATCTGGACATTCGCCAAAGAACTCAACGTGCGATGGTTCCCAAGTTTTATCCTTTAACGTCAGAACGCTTAAGGTTGCGTGATGTCCGCGTTATTACACTATATAATACTTCGAATTTAATGAAGATATTATTTAACACCGTTTTTTGAATTTGCCTATTACCGGGTAAATTATACTCTGAATTTTTCTTTTTTTTCTCACGACGCACGTTTCACCCCGCAAAACTCAGATGTTCAGGCGCCCGCTGTTCACATACCAACCTCCGAAGAGTTCTTTGACAAGAATGATCCCGAGAAACCAAACATCAATTATTTGAAGAATCATTTTTGTCGTGAGGGTAGAATTTCCGATGAACACGCATTATACATCATTAACAAGTGCACGGAAATATTAAAGAAGGAAAGTAACTTGCTAGAAGTGGACGCACCAATAACAGTTATGAATTTTTTTCGCGCATGTAAAGAGAACGCCGTAATAACTCCGATCTGACAACTGCCGTGAAAAAAAAATAAGTGTGCGGTGATATTCATGGTCAATATTACGATCTAATGAAATTATTCGAGGTTGGTGGAAATCCGGCTGAAACTAGTTATCTCTTCCTTGGGGATTACGTTGATAGAGGTTATTTTTCTATCGAGGTTCGTGCAAATATATTTTGTGCGATGTCAGTTGGATGGTGGTTGTTACATCTAAAAATTTTTCTTGGCGAATCAGTGCGTTCTCTATTTGTGGGCGTTGAAGATATGGTATCCCAACACATTATTCTTATTGCGTGGTAATCACGAATGTCGTCATTTAACAGACTATTTTACATTCAAGTTGGAATGTGAGTTTCGTTTACTTCATCTGCTATTATTGTTAGTTTGATTTCACCGTCATCGCACGTTGCCAATATGGAATCCACGAATAAAATGAATAGGCAAGCACAAGTATTCTGAAGAAGTCTACGATGCCTGCATAGAATCATTCTGCGCCCTTCCACTGGCGGCCATAATGAACAAGCAATTCCTGTGCATTCACGGTGGTTTGTCACCGGAACTTAACACCTTGGATGACTTGCGTGAAGTATGTATGCGCCAAAAGTATCATCCTCGTCTAGGGTTTCAAGGATGGTTGACTGACTTTCACCGATACGTGTGTTTCAGATTAATCGATTCAGGGAGCCACCCACACACGGACTAATGTGCGATTTGCTTTGGGCCGATCCTTTGGAAGAATTTGGACAGGAAAAAACGAACGAGAGTTTTGTGCACAACCACGTACGAGGATGTTCTTACTTTTTCAGGTACGAACTTTTCTTTGTTGCTTGCATAATTCTCTTGATTCGTGCATTTACCAACAAATTTATTTATCATCGTGAGACAGCTATCACGCGGCATGTAGCTTTTTGGAAAAGAATAATCTATTGTCTATTATCCGCGCACATGAGGCTCAGGATGCAGGGTAAGTGATGATTGCTTTTTTTTTTTTTTGGAGTTGGTCGCGAGACTTGACCTAAACTCACCCAAAGGTCAAATGCTTGTCTGTTAGGTATCGAATGTATCGTAAGACAAAAACCACGGGATTCCCATCTGTCATGACAATCTTTTCCGCACCCAACTACTTGGATGTGTATAACAACAAGGCTGCGGTATTAAAGTATGAGAATAATGTCATGAACATTCGTCAATTCAATTGCACGCCTCATCCATATTGGTTGCCAAATTTCATGGATGTTTTCACTTGGTCCTTGCCTTTCGTTGGCGAAAAGAGTGTGTATAGTGGTTCATTTTTCGCGAAACACGTTTTTCTGAAGGGAGGGGACTAAACTTAGCATTCATGTATGCATTCTTATATTCACTTTAGTCACAGATATGCTCCTAGCAATATTAAACATTTGCAGTAAGGAGGAACTGTCAGATCACGAGCTTACTGCTGAACCCGAACCTAAAGTGGTCGGTGAGTGCAAAAACATGTTTCGTATTTCTATTGATCAACGTGTTGGATTGATGGTGGGTAACTATTTTTTCCCGATTTTTTTTTTTTCTTTTTTCTTCCAGAACTACCGAGTGATGGTTCAGAGAGGCGCCATGTCATCAAGAGCAAGATCATGGCAATTGGTAAAATGGCTAGGGTGTTCTCTATTCTCAGGTGATTTTTTTTTTTCGCATCTTGGATCCGGAACACTCGTCTTGAAAATTTTTGGATTGACAATGATCATTCATTGGCACAAT